AGGATTAACAACTATATGCATTATACGTGTTATATTTATCAAAAAAAGGTGGCAACAATTGACGTATTGTATGCTCAATTATTTGTTTCTATGATACATGCGGATCATTTGATGAGTTGTAAAAAGAATAATAAAGTTTCTGTTTATAAACAAGGATAAATAGTGACTAGCAGTGGAAACCAGGAAGTGCGTTTCGTCCTATTTGAGACTCGTCAGGTAAATGTACCTGCATTTTAGGTAATATCGAGGCAATATGCACAGTATACACATATGCCAATAAGAGACTGATCGATTGCAGTCCTAAAACACCAACTAAAAGTTTCAATTTGTTTATAAATAATAAAAAGATTATTGAAACTATGATAATATTTTACAGTTTTATGATTTGAGCTTGAAAACTTGATCATTGATAACCGAGCAAGTTATTGAATTGTCATTTGCAAGAGGTAAATAAAAAGAGAGAGAGAGGATAATGGAGAGTTAGGAAATAGAATAAAATAAACGCCTAATATCTTTTAGTTTTCAATAATCATTTACTGACAAATGTCAGTTCAGTGACTGAAAACTTAATCACTCAAATCGAAACCTAAATGTCTATATATCTAACTGAAGAGTCCCAAATAGGACAAAATGCGTGTCCTGGATTTCATTGTTATCCTCCAACCATATTTGCTTATAATGCTTGTAACTTGAAAAAGTGATATGTAGGCAATCTGTACAAGATGCACGTATGCCAATAAGAGACTGATCAGTGCTAAACATCATTTGGAAGATTCCAAGTGAATTAACAATAATCTTAACATTAAATGAACGCGAACTATGTTCAGCATGTGATTGTGTTGTAACTCTAGTTATCTTTCATTGTTATGATTTTATTCTAATTAATAATCACAATACATGTGAATGGATTTCCAACTACATTTGTTGCTGTGTTTTTAGGTTTCATAAATCTTCGTTTATATCAGTCAGTCTTGGTGTTGTGACTTCAAGTCGTAGACATTACAGTAGTCACAATTGATTGGTCACTGGGTGGTGACCAATGTCATGTGTGTTAAGTCCTTATTATTAGTGCAGACCGAATGCTATCGACCATGATGCAATGTGGCCACCAGTCTAGGTGACTCGATACGGCGTGCACACGACATTGGTCACCACCCAGTGATCAATCAATTGTGATTACATCTCAGTCCTACAGGAGGTTGGTCGCGGCCCGGATAGCTCAATGGTAACGTCTCTGACTGTGAAGCTGGGTGACACGAGATCGAATCAGCTAGGGAGCACCAGTTCCCGCAAGGTTACAGGTACACCTTGCTGACGTGTGCCAAGTAGCACGAAACCCGGGTCCAGGGTTTCCTGTCGACTACCTCCAACCACCATCTAACATTGCAATAGTTCCTCTTTCTTCCAAGTATAAGTAATAATCAATGTGGATATAACAGTTACTGTCAATGTTATTATGATCCACATATACAGTTACACGTGTATATTTATTAATTTCGTCCACTTTCTTATCCTATTGTAAATTGAATTCAAGTTATCGACTACTTGACATTTTTATAATTTCTTTTAAAGAAGACAATCCACTTTAAACTGACATATACATAATTTCACTGGTTGAAATCATGAGTCAATTGAAGCTAGACCGCCATGGAAAACCTGAAAGCACTGGACGGCCGTTTTTTCCTAGTAAGGCACTCCTCAGCAGCGCACGTCCACTATCCTGCGCCCCGCGAGATCCGAACCCAGGACCTATCAGTCTTGCGCCAGGCACTTAACCAACTAGACCATTGAGCCGGGATCTAACGGTGGTAATGTCTAACTTCAACCAATCCACAAAGTTGCGCCATGGTACACCATTGTTTTCAGTGAGTTGATATGTCACAACAGATCTGGTTGAACTCCACTGGTAACGGATTCTCATACTAGGACGAAACGGCCGTCCAGTGCTTCCAGGTTTTCCATGGTAGTCTAGCTTCAATTGACACGTGATTCCAATCAGTGAAATTTCTCCACAAAACCCCTCCTGAATATACATAATTCATTAGTGAAATACACTTAGATATACCTTATATATATATGATAGAGAGAGTGATACAATGGATTCATTATACTATAATATCAACATGTATATCCAAAATACATTAATCATTAACCATATTTTGAAACGAAAAACAAACATATACCACTACTACTCAATTGAATAAACAAATTGCAAAACATTAAGACGACAAGAAACTAAAGAGGTCATCTAAAACTTAGACATAGTTTTCGCTAAAAACAAATGCTCCCTTTACAAAAACGAAAGTATGAATGACTGATTGACTGATTAACTGAATGACTGAATGACTATCTATAGTGGAAACAGTTGACCACATTTTCTGTTTTCTTTTCTTGTTTTGTTTTTAAAAAAGAACACAAATTATTATACTTCCATACATGTTTTTAAACAAAAAAGTTAGTCACAATACAAAGAAAATCTTCTTATCTAATGGAATGATAATGAATGATTAGTGAATAAACAGTTGGTGTATTTTAATCAAAAAGATTTAAATGATTCAAGTAGTAAACTAGTAGTTGTTAGCATGAAAGAGGAAGAGAGAGAGAGAGAGAGAGAGAAGGAGAAGGAGAAAGGGAGAGAGAGAGTGTGTGGGGCTTACTGATCCCTAAAAATATTGTAACCTCACATAACAATATGAACATTGACAATTATCTACATACAATTAATCATAATTCATCTCCTTTCCAAATGATTCTTCTTCTTAAATTGTATTTTAGTTTTTACGTCTTTTGTGAATTTCGTTTATTATTTTAATTTTCTGAAAAAAAACTGGGGAATTCAAATGGTTTTTTGACTTTTGCTCCTTAAAATGAAAAAAAAACTATGTGATAAATAGGGATGTGGTACAGTCATGTGTATTTTGTATCCATGTATGTGTGTGTGTGCGTGTGTGCGTAAGTATGTGTACACATGCATCCCTTAGAATATATGATGAATTGAAACAATAACTACAACATTTGGTTATATTATGATTTGTAAGGTCGGTTACAAATATATGTGTACATGTATGTATGTATCTATGTGGGTGTGTGGGTGGGTAGGTGGTTCGTATATATCGTTGTTTATTCAAATGTATGAAAGCACCTTCTTTTTTTCAATGATCAAGGCTACAATTATAACAACATCAATGACGATAATAGACGAAGACATTTTGTATAATTAAATTTTCAATGATTTGCTTTTAACCTTTTAAAAATATTAACATTCAGTAGTGAAATAACATAGAGATGAATGTAATTCGATATTTATTTTTTCAGTAAATAATTCTTAAACTAAAATTTACCTTGTATCTAACTAAGATTATTTCATAATGGATTATATCTGACTAATGAGATTGTAATTTATGGACGACCATTGAGTGACGTTGAAGTGACCTTGAGAGTGAATACCTACGGATTCGGACTAAATAAAGGTTATAAAACAGTGAGAATTCTGTTACAATTGATGGTTAGGGTTTTAAAAAAAAATTAGATTTAGGATTTTCATCATGAACTGACATTAGCTATAATGTCTGGATGTATGGATCAATTTCGTGCGAAAATCTGACCAAATCTCGACAGGGTTATTGAAAGTTCAATTGACTTTGTCAATTTGGATCACTTGTAAATTAGGTAAGATGTCCAACTAGCAACCAAAGGGTAAGTATATTGATCATTAGTCGTCACTGTTATACTTTATGTACGTGAAACATGGTTGACAGGGATAGACTGAAAGGTTTTGATGATAGGTGCCTTTAAAGTACTGCTCACGTTTTGTAGAATTATCTGATGAGTAATATTGAGGTTAGTTGTATTGTACTTGGTAAAGGCAGGGGAATGGATTGATTAAGCAGAGAATTTATACCAGCTGAAGTGTTTGGATCATGTGTCACGCATATCTAACGGAAGCCTACGTCAACGAGTGGTGTTTTCTAGTGTGGAAGTAGGTAGAAAGAAGGTTAGAGGCGGCCAGATTGTGATACGCCACCATTACATGAAGTCCATGACTGTTGATCTGAGGCACGTTGGTAGATACAGACTACCTGGTTACAGGATTTGGCTGACGTGGCTCCAAACTGCTCATAATGATGCATGTGTATTCCTTCTTTATCATCCTTTCAATCTTCAACTCCATGATCCCTTCACAAATACCTTTCTACTCTGCCTTGCAGAACTTTATTCCCAGTGTTCAGTCTTTCCTATTATTATTACAACTACCTTATATTTATCTCTTTTCCAATTTCTCTCGTTATATTCACCTCGTCGTGCCAATTTAGCATAGTGACTTTTTACCAACGCACATGTTTACAAGTCCCCGTCAATAGTCATAACTAGTGTGATTCAGACAGACTGGCAGTTAAATAATCGTCACTCATAGAGTCAGATGGTCGTTAAATTACATGGTGAATTAGTCAAGATTTAAAATATGTACCATTGAACACAAACTTGTGGTCCAATGTTTCTGTGACCATTTTATTTTAGGTGATAAAAGTGACTTGGTGATAATTCCTGTATAATCATTAGTCTCATATTAGTTAGTACTCCTTAATAAAAGCTATCTTGGATCTTACATAGATACTAGATTCCTTGTAGCCCAAATAACCGAGTAACAGCTCTCCTAACTACTAATTTAGATGACTAAAGTTTATATTTCACGGCTAGTATCAGTTCTCCAAGAATTGTATAAAAGTAACAAGTACCAAATACTAATATGCTTCAGTCAACAGTTTAACATATTAAAATTGTTTTAATGTGACCTCTAGTACAATTCACCTTGAGAATTGTTCATAATCAACCATACGGTTTCATAACCACAGATAAGATCATTCAATATGGTATCTAGACATTGTAACAGTATATTTTAATCCAGTTGGAAACATAATTAGTTCAACCATTTTTTATGACTATCCAAAATGGTCACGCCTTGTTCAAAAGTAACTCATCATTGAAATAATTGATCGTCCTTAGGTAGAATTTAAACGATCGCTACTACTACTACTACTACTACTACTACTACTACTACTACTACTACTACTACTACTACTACTACTACTACTACTACTACTACTACTACTACTACTACTACTACTACTACTACTACTACTACTACGACTACGACTACGACTACTAATACTACTACTACTACTACTACTACTACTACTACTACTACTACTACTACTACTACTACTACTACTACTACTACTACTACTACGACTACGACTACGACTACGACTACTACTACTACTACTACTACTACTACTACTACGACTACTACTACTACTACGACTACGACTACGACTACTAATACTACTACTACTACTACTACTACTACTACTACTACTACTACTACTACTACTACTACTACTACTACTACTACTACTACTACGACTACGAATACGACTACGACTACTAATACTACTACTACTACTACTACTACTACTACTACTACTACTACTACTACTACTACTACTACTACTACTACTACTACTACTACTACGACTACGACTACGACTACGACTACGACTACGACTACGACTACGACTACTACTACTACTACTACTACTACTACTAATACTAATACTAATACTACTACTAAAACTTTTATATTCCAAATCTTAAAATGAATCTTTTCATTATTTCAAATAACAACCTAGTAAATTTAGTGTCCGTTTAAAATACATATAAATCGTAATCATTTTAAAATCTAAATTAGTTTAATAGTCTCCTTCTCCTCCCCCCTTCTCCTTCTCCTCCACCTCCTCCTCCTCTTACTACTACTATTACTACTAACTACTTCATTTAAGTAATATATTTTATTCCTTTCCAATGAGCTTTATAATGATTTATAGCCACAAAAAAATATAGTTGAAATGAGTGGTGATAAGTTTGTTCAAAAGAACATTGTTTCAATCAATCTATAACTGTCATTTTGATTTTTATTGTAACAAATAGATATTTATACGAACTATGAAAACTAAATTGAAAAGATAAAAATCTATTTTTTTATTCTAAAAAAGAGGAAGAGAAAAAAGAAAGATAACGATTTTAGTTTAATAATGAGTGATAAAACAAAAAGAGTTTAGTAATGGAAAATGTATGAATTTTAATTTGAACATTGAAACATTGAATGAGCATAGATTGTTCGATGTATCGTTCATTGATTGATCACTAGGTGGTGATCAATGTCATGTATGTCATGTTCTCTTTTTTTATTAGTGCTACCTCAAACTATCATTTTATTTCAACATAATATATGAAATGTTGAGTCACCTAGATGCTAAGTTTGAAGCTATCACGAGTTCATTTAATCGGCGAACGAGAACAAGACTCACTAATCAAAGACCAGTGTGCTAGCTATTGGTGCATTCCAGCCCCGGTAACTAGAGGGAGAAGTCCAAGCTTAGAATGGAAAGTATATTCTGCAAAACAGCCAACACAACAAACACAATTCAAAACGTATATATATACATTGTGAATCTGTCTTTGGAGAGAGTTACGAGAGTTACGCAACGGACCAATAGCATTTAAGATATTTCCCAGTGGGAAATATGACACGAAGGTGACAAAAAAGAAATTCAAATTTTCTAAATAAATTACAAAATTAGGTCCTTTCCCAAGTGAGTTCTGGGGATCAAACGTCCCCCAAACTAGACTAGTGATCATAATGAAACTTGGTTAATAGGATTCGATTTGCACCATGTAGGACTTGACATATAAAATATTGATCAGTACTCAGTGATCAATCAATTGTAAGTACATCTTAGTCCTACAGGAGGTCCAGTCGCAACTGAGATAGCTCAATGGTAACGTCTGTGGTTGTGAAGTTGCGTAACAAGGGGTCGAATCCATTAGGGAGCATCATCTTACTGATGAGTGCTAAGTAGCACAAAACCTAGGTTCAGGGTTTCCTGTTGACTACCTCCAACGGCCATTTTATTGTTTATTGTTTAAAACTGATATTTTATTTTGTCTATGAATATTCTTTAGATGCATATTTAATTCTATATATAATAAAATAATAACTAAATTGTCTGAATAATTAGTGAAAAGAAAATCAGACTACATAGTTAGTTTTATAAGTAATTTCAAACCTGACGGTATATTTTTAAGCGTCGAGTTTGTGGACAGCAAAGTCACAGAATGAAAGCTAAGTATACAAAATCATTAAGTCAGAGCAGTGAATTACTGGAAGTAGTCATCTACTTGTGTGTACGTATATATATATATATATATATATATATATATATATATATATATATATATATATATATATATATATATATATATATATATATAGTGGGAATAAGTTCTGGAAGTGGATAGGACGCCTATTGAGGAAATAAACCTGACTGCGTGACAAGGCAAGCCCTCACTTGGAACCCTCAAGGCCAAAGGAGAAGAGGAAGATAAAAGAATACATTACACCGAGAAATTAAAACAGATATGAGAAAAATGAAAAACAATTGAATAGAACTAGAAAGGAAGGCCCAGGACAGAGTGGTTTGGAGAATCCTGATCGGTGGCCTACGCTCCATTGGGAGTAACAGACATAAATAAGTAAGACAGTAGTATGACAAGTAAGTTTAAAAGAAGGGGCAATTCACAAGCTAACATTGCATAAAAGATGATCATTTATTGAATGAAAATCAAATATTTGTTACTTTTATGTGTATAGATTTTATTATTTTTCACAGTATTCCATTCTGATTCGGAAACACAATCTCCCTGTACGTGAACTCAAGAGTGATTATTATCAGTGTAAAATGTCTGTGGTGACTGTTACTCGATTTCAATCTACCCAAACAACAACATTGACAGAATGTTTTGTTGAGATAATGAAACGATCAATGTTAAACCACCATTGAAAATCTGGATAAAATGAACAGTGTCTCGTCCTAGTATGGAACTCCTCAGTAGTGCTCATCCACGATCTTCCTCTCGGGGCTTGAACTCAGGAACTTCAGCCTCTAGACCAATTAGCTGGAATCCAACATTTTTAGTTTCTAACTTCGACAATTCCTCCTTCCGTATCCCGGACTAGTGGTCTAGAAGTTAGGTGTTCACTAGCGAGATCGAGGTTCCTGGGTTTGCGTCCAGCATATGGGATCCTGAGTGCCCACTGCTGAAGAGTTCTAAAGCAGGACGAAATGGTCATTCAGTGCTTCCATGTCTTCAGTGGTCATCTAACATTGATCGTTTCCAGATCTTAATAAAAACTCAACAATTTACACAAACCTATACAGAAATGATTGATAAATATTTACAAATTATTTGAATGAACAACATTTTTTGAAATGTGAAACAACCTATTGATGACGATGATGAAAACAATGTTTAGATAAACATATTCGTTATCAATAATTCAGTTATTTAATAAACGTGACAACCACAGTTTAACTAATAAATAATAAATAGTTTTTATGTATAAAATTTTTGCTATGAAAAATATTCATAGAATTAAGTTTGTAGAATTGAATAAAACATAGACAGGAATTGTATGATTGATGAATATAACAATCTAGAACATTTTGATGGAGTTTTGTTCTCTGAGCTGGATGGTTTGGACGTAGAAGTTTCATCCTTCTTCTGAATGATATCATCAGAAAAAACTCTCGGTTGTGATGAAGTTTGTGCTGATGATGTCGTTCAGAAGAAGGATGAAACCTCTACGATCAAACCAGCCAGCTCAGAGAACGAAACTCCATCAACATCACTCATCTGAGCTACAATTTTCGACTATCTAGAATATTCCATTAAAATACTATCTACAATAGAAAAGTGATGGATATATTGTACCATAACGTAGAAAACAATTAAACGTAGATCATAACTTGATATTTAAACGTTTCACAGAGACAATTTTAATACACAAGACATGGCTGTATTGCTATGAGAGTTTTGTGGGATTATTGAATCGTTTAATTAACATTACGTAGTAACCACTGTTAAATGGCCGCTAGATACTATTAATTACAGGAGACCCGTTTAGTCTTAGTAATGTTACTCCTTACCGGTGGAAATGATGTCATCAGATGTTTATGTCATGACTTTTATGTCCATCAGTGATTATTTAGTTCTCAAACCATTTAACATCCGAATAGTTAACATTTATAAATTTGGTTGCTCTACGATATTCCCAAACTATCTTTCAATATCATTGAATTCTACATATTATCCCCTGAAATCCGTCACTTGTGATTATATGGTAATGAAATAACCATCCAGCTATCCCTAGTTTTCAATGGTTGTTTAACTTAAGTCAGTTCCTGATATGAAAAATAAAATAAGGTTGTATAATTGATGGTATACAATTGGATCAATAGGGTTTATAATTCCGAGGAAAATATCTTTTATTGCAAGACGAAAGATAGTGCTTTTTTGAGAAGTATCTACTCCCAAAAACTTAATATTCATTTAAATATTTCACTACTTGGAGCGTACCATTTGACAGACTTGATTATGTAGATTCTGAAACCTTGTGAATTTCCGATATATGAAGATCTTTGCAACTTTTCGGAACTGAGTGTTACGGTTAATACTGTTCATAATATCAACGGAGTTCCAGTAATTGAAACATTGACGGTGTAGATGAGAAACAATATCATAAATAACCAGTCTTCCACAATAATTGATTAATAAGTTGTCTTCTACCTTATAGTTGCATAGTTCTTTATAGTGATTCATTAAATCACAATGTGGTTGCCAATCATAGTGACCTGATTTCAAATGTAATATGTTGAAATGTTCACATTTTGGAAGTAATCAACAGAAAATCCCGTTCGAATTGTGCATCTTCCTAGTCGACACTAGACAGTAATAAGTATTTGAAATCATAAGGAAACTTCTACGTTCTTGTGGATTCACAACTGGATAGAAAGGACTATATCATGAAATTTGTCAAAACATAGCAATAACTCAGTTCAACAGAAGGTAAGTTGACGATCAAATAGATCAGTAGTAACATCTACCATCGTGAAGCCGAGTAACCAAGGATCGAATCTAATAGGGAACGTCATTTCTATCAAGAAACTATGTATACTTTACTGATGGCTATCAAATAGGATTTCCTACCGACAAACTCTATTCACCGAATATCATTATTTCCATCATTAAATCTATTAAATTTTTGTTTATTCTAATATCTAGCACCTTTCCCGTTATCTATTCATAGTGAAATTACTCTAGTGTGATTAATATATGGTTTGATCTTTATTTCGCATTATCAAATTCTTAACAAGTTCATATTTTGATGAAATTCTTTGGAACAGATTGAAGTAAATCTATTACAATGAATTCGATAAACTTCATAATAACCATTGAAACATATGAATTTATTCTGTATAGGACATATTAGTCTGATTTATTTTTATTTCAATGGTAATGATCATACTGAGATTTGAATGTATTATATAATATCGGAATGGGGTTTGTAGAGATTGTAGTAATTTTAATAGTTGAATTAATAAGTCGATTTAAGCTAGACCACCATTGGTAACCTGAGAGAACTGGATGGTCTTTTCGTTCTATTATAGGATTCCTCAACAGTGAACATCCACGACCTCCTGCCAAAAAGAGAGTCGAACCCAGAACCTTCAGTCTTGCACGTGAACGTTTAACCTCTAGACCAATGAGCCGACATTCAACGGCGTTCATGCCTAACTTCAATCAATCCACGATATTTCTCGACCGTCCTCCA